CCCCACATGCATAGCTCCCTCATTATAACATCCCCCAAAGTGGTACTTTTGTTATAATCAGTGAACTGACATCAACGCGTCATAATCACCCAGAGCCCATAATTTACATTAGGGTTCATTCTTGAGGTCGCATATTCATTCTATGGGTTTTAACAAAAGTTAAATGAAGTGTCTCCGGCATTATAGTATCATACAGAATAATTTCACTGCCCCAAACATCCTCTCGTACTGTTTTTAATTCTCCTACTAGCACTCAATAGAGGTATTTTTATCCCCCTTCCCAGAGGAAGTCGTGGAGGTCCTGAGAGACGAGGTACCCTGCTCAAGCTCACCCAGCTCTTGAGCACTGGAGCCTGCCTGAATGGAGCTAAGCATGCACGGACTCTGCAGCCCAGGGCGGGCCTCGGGTGAAATGCTTTCTTATTTTGTGAGGATGAGCTGAGCTGGCCATTCCCTGGGAACCACATGGGAATACACTTTGTCCTGTGGCCACTGCTGGTGAAGGTATTGGAAGTTGGTTTGCATTTAAGTAGCTGCTTTTACTTTTTACATGACAGTAAAACGAATGAATGATAGGGAATTTCCAAGATAATCAAAGGCATAGCTACACCTTGTTTTACATACATATATATATATATATATATATATGTAAAAATATATTTATATATATATTTCTTTTCATAGTTCCCTGTTCATCCAGACTCTCAATTAGCTGCTACTTTGCCCCACATATTCTATTGTGTTTCGCCAACCTGAGCTTTCTTGGCAATTTCTGAAGCTACAAAATGGCAGTACATTTGCTGACAAGTACAGAATGTGGTGTCCAGACTGAGCAGGCAATGGGGTACCTTCTGCCTGGGGACAGCTCTGTGGCGTTTGGGCATTACACCAGAGAGGCCTTTAAAAAAATGTAATAACAAAACAACATTACAAATCATGGGGACCTTTCCAAAACACATAAATAGGAATTCAGTGTGTTTTTTTTCCCTCCTGAAAATTGAGGTATTTTATCTGCTGCACCCTATGTTTTGATTTTAGATCGTGTTTACTGAAGTTGTTTCTGCTAAAGAAAGTATTAAAAGGGAGGTTGAGAAAATCTCTTCTGAGCACAATTTAAATGTCACGTCCAATATGTATTCATACATTCTGGCTCAAAAGATGTTGACAGTGGTGCCCCCAAATGGTTCTCCAGTTTTCCTAAAACAGAGCAAAGGGTAAGACATGAATACCTTGTGTAGGGTTTGAGACATCAACCTGGAGCCTCAAGTTCCTACATTTTACTAAGGATTTAAGATTCTTTTCAGGAATCAATTTAAAATAATTCATAACTCAACTGAAAGATAATTTAGAGCTTACAGGTATAGATATAGATGCTCCAACTTCCAGAATTTTATTGCTGCCCTCAGTGTTTTTGAGATGACGGTTTTCCCTTCACAGAACAAGCTTAAAATTAGAAAAGTGAAACAACCATTAGAGAAAGCAGACTGACTCTCCTATTAATTGATATAGGGGTGTACATCTCCCATCATCCAGGCAGGAACCCAGGACATTCCCTACAGATATTTTCAGGGGCCAGAGCCTGGGTCAGCAGCAGCCCCCGGCCTAAGCCGGAACTGTCTGCCTTTACGAGCTGAGGCTTGATTTTTCAGTGCTGCCCTGGGGCAGCAGCCTCCGCAGCACCTGCACATAAATCTTAGGGGTTGTGTGCTACTCTCTTCTCGCTTTGTTTTATTTTTGAAAAAGTGAACAACCGTGAAAGTTGAACTCCCCACTCTGTTCTGGCTTCTCTCTGCTCTGCTGGACAGGAGGTAAAATAGCACTGCCTGTTTAGTAACCAGAAAATGATTCTTACGGGGAATGGAGACTCTGCCGCCGCTGCGTGTTAAATACGGAGAAGAAGCATTGAGGACTAACCACAGAACTGTCTTCTTCCAGAGGCTGGAAGCAACCCAGGTGGGGGTGGGAAGGGCGAGAATCTGTTGAAATACGACACCGGTTTTAACTTTAAGCATTTCTGTCCTAATAGAAGCCCCCTCTAATGTCTTCTACAGCTTTGATTTTGGAACATGTCACATTCCTCCTTAAAGCAATCACTGTTAAAACATAAAGCAACACAGGATTTATTTCTTCATTAAACTGATGATCCGTATATGAAGCCAATTAACATTATGAGTCTGGTGAACATCAAGTGTAAAGAGGTTAGAGAAAATTAAAAGCAGTCACCTTGGTCTTTAGATAAAGAAAGTACACTTTTAGGTTGTAAATCATCAGAGTGTCCAAGCGGGACAGATCGGTGAATTTGGTTAATTGGAAAATACATTTTACCGCACAAAAATTAAGAAAAAAACAACCTTTTCGTTACTAACGTCCTTTTTAGGGGGGAAGAGGACGGTAGCAAATACATAGACTACCTTTTCCCTGGCTCCGGGTTGTCTGAGACAAGCGGAGGGAAAAAATGGGGTTCGCGTCATCAAAGTTTGCTGTAGCCTTTCGTTCTTAAGAGTGCTTAGTTTCTTTATTCGCTATTTTGCCAACAGGAACGAGCCTGGCCTTGCGGCTCGGGGAGAGGGGACGTCTGTCGAGGCGAGGCCAAGGGTCCTGAGCTGGCTCCGATCCCCGCGTGAGGTGGGTGTTTTCCGGGAGCCGAGCTGGTTGTCCTGCCAGGGAGGCGGCCAGGCTCGCGTCGGGGACGCTGGGAGGGCCGGGACCGGGGGACGCGTCCCTGCTGGAGTCACCCGGCGGGAGCCGCGCGCGGGACTGCGGAGTCGAGATTTTGGTGTGTGCTGTGAGCGCTGAATGCGCGTCCCAAGAAACTTTCGCAGGTTTGTACCAGAGAGGATACCGGTGTGTCTCCCGAACGCTCGGGATCCTGCGGGGCGAGTACCGCCACAGCGCAGCTCAGGGCCCCACGAGGACGCTCTGGACCCGCCTCTTTTCACTTGGCTATCTCAGAGGAACGGGTACTGCTGTTTTGATCCTCCCGGTGCTCGCAGCCCCGGGATATATCTGGGCCTTTTTGTCTCAGCAGATGTCGGGAAAGGGAGCTGAGAATGGGGCTGGCACCTCTTTGGTTTTTGCGGCCAACGCGGAGCCGGGCGCCTGGGACGAGGGTCCCCTCACATATACTCTGGTGCTCCTGGAGCATCTTGGCCGAACCGGCCCGGATGTCTTTCTCACTTCGCTTCACAGGCACCCTGCGCAGGACACGCAGGCAGGAGCTGCCACCTAGCGCAGGTGGGAGCTTGAGAGGGCTTTTGGCCGACCCAGGCGAGCAAGGGGGGCCCCGGGCTCCAAAGAGCAGGGGTCCTCAGAGACACAGGGAGAGAGACAGAGCGCGCTCAGCCTCTTGTCCGGGGCTGAGGGAGGATCGGCTCTCGGGGCTCCAGCTCTTCTCTCTGGGTGAAGTGAAAACAGCGCTGTCAGCTGCCCCGCCAGCCCTGTGCTACCGCACCTGCCTCCCAACGTGTAGGCCCGCAGCCCGGACTCGCGGAGTCGGTGGCCCTGGAGGAGCTGGTGCCGCGCGGTCTCTCTCCGCTCTGAACCCAGCCGGAGTTTCCAGTGGTTTCTTTCGTGTAGCGGGGCCGACTCCCCGCGCCAGGACGGGCTGTGCCCAGGAGGGGCCGTTGAGGTGCACCAGGCTGCGACTTGACTCTTCCGTGCCGCCTCTTCCTCCAAGCTGTTTTCCGAGGGGAGTCCACGGGCGGCCTAAGGCCCCAGCATTCTGCCCGCCAGCTCGATGCGCCTCACCGGGGCTGCTTGTCCGCTTGTGGGCCCGCTGGGTCTTTTGTTTCCAACGCGCTGCGTCTTTAAGGTCAAGGCTCGGTCCCAGGCCGTGCAGGGACCGGACCCACCGCCTCGCCATGGCTCCCGAACGCAGCATTAGAATGTTTATAAAATATTCAATTTATGCAGTCTGTCCAAGAAGCCATCGTCCCAAAATAAGATCAGTAGTCTAGACGGAACACAGACACCAGAACTTATCAACAGTTGTCTGACTTGCATCTTCTGATGCATCTTGAGTGGGTCATAATACCAACTTTATTTTCAGTGGTGCATAAATTAATTACACGCATTTAATAACCAAAATATCATTATATTCCCCCTTTAATATCATAAAGGCTTTCCGCCAGGGAAGCACTTAATAGTGCAGGGGGCCGTAACGGGCTATTATCCTGGTGTAATGCTATTACAGAACCAATTATGAGCCATTAGACTTGCTTTTTTTGCAGTTTATGTGATTTGATCCAATCCCGCGTCCCTGACTTGAAAATTTCAGCTCGGTACTTTAGAGTTTAATTTTCACCCAGGCAGAGGGAAGGGCGGTCTCTCTCTGCTGAGTGTCTGCCTCGGATGCACTTTAAAAGTAATTGCGGAGGGTCCCACCGCATATCATTTGCATCGAGAAGCAAACATAAATTCAAGGACCCCTTGCTGAGAACAAAATCAAACTTTCCTTTTGTACGGTCGCTTGGAAAGGGAAGCCGTGTGCAGAGTCCCCCCAAAACCCATCCGGCGGCAAAAATTAGCAGCGCTTTGTCAATTCACAGCCCGGGAGCCGCCAGGCCTCTGACAAGGGCGCGCCCAAATCTAAGCTCTCCAGGAGAAAGAAGGTTTGAGTCAGGGGACTCGGGTGGGGGTGGGCTGGTGTGTTAAAAAAAATAATGCCTTTTTGGGGGGTGGGATGGGGGTGATGGTTGTTACTATCCTCTTTTAAAAGAAAAGAGAAAAAACATTCCTGATGTTTGCTGAGAAATGACGGATTTTTTTTTTTTTACACCACGTGGGCCATTTGTAAGGCCCAATAGACCTATCCAAGTTACTCGCTGTAGACAGCGCTGGAAATAATCAGATTAAGGCCAATTATGCGTGAGATTATAAAGGCGAGTGCTGAGCGGCGGCGCGCGCTGTAGACAGACAGCAAGACATCTGGCCACTTCCCGAGTCACTTTTTTGGTCCTGCAGGCGCCAGCCGCGCCGAGCCCCGCCCGCCTCCAGCCGAACCCAGCGTGCGGACCCGAGGCGGTCACGCTCCGGCCTCCCTCGCCCGCCGCCAGCCGAGGTACGCTCGGCTCCCGACCCGCTCACCGGGTCCCGCGAAACGGGTCTGGGGGCTCGGCTGCTTCCTGGCGGCGGCTGCTGTTCGTGCAGATGACCTAGCGCATTCGCGGGACCCGGCTGCGGTGACCTGGGTGCAGCACTTGCGCGGGGGACACCTGAGAACCCGGAACTGAGCGAGTTTGGCATTGGGGCGGGGGTAGGAGCACAGATGTCCGGGAGGTGGACCAGAACTGAAGGGCTGTCCGGTGGATACCCGGCTTGAGACGGCCCTGCCACCTCCCCTCCGGTCCCCACAGTGGGCGAAGGGCGTTGGGAGGGGATTTTCCTGGAGGGGAGCAGCCGGTGCGCTGCAGGTCGGGCTAGAGCGCAGACAGAGGGGGACTTAAGACAATCGCTTTTTGCTTTGCAGCCAGGCGGGAGCTACGCACGCCTGTTGGTTCTGCGGTCACCCTCCCGAGTACGAGCCGTCCAGAAGATCAGGCCGTCGGCAATGTTTTATTTCCACTGTCCACCACAACTGGAGGGTGAGTAATCGCCGCACCCCCGCCACTTCAAAAGGCCTGCGCGGGCCAGAAAGGGCCCAAGCGACAGTGTGCTGGTGGGTGGTTGGATCCCCGCTCCTCCAGGGTTGCAGCTGCCCGGAAGGTGGGTAGAGGCGCCCCTGGCCCCCTCCCTGTATCCCGCTCCTGCCTCCCGCCCCATTGCCACCTGCCTCCCACCTCCCTCTCCGCCTGAGCTGGGCGGCCCCGGGCTATGCGAGCCTAGGGGACCAGCCGGGTCCTCCCAGCACAGATGCTGGTGTCACGCCTCTAATCGGGGCTCCCCCGCCCAGGGGGCCGCATCAATCTTTCACAGTGTTTTGCAAACATCCTGAAAAGCCAAGGTGGACTAGGGAGTTGGCCTGCATTGTCCTGGGCCCGACCATGAGTCAGAAAGACCCCCTGCCGGCTGCCCTCACCCTGGCACAAGGCAGTACTGCTCGGGGCCTCCAAGTCTGTTTCAGGCCGCCTTGGCCTCCTGGAGCCAGGTGGTCCTGCCCACCTCCTCCTCTGTGACACACTGGGTTTTTCACATCAAATGCCAACCACTTCCCACTCTCAGGGGCAGCCCCATGGCCAGAGTTTGGATCTTTGAGGGTCTCCAGGCCTTAGAAGAAATTCTGGCTCAGGATCCCTGGTGTGATCTCTGCACTGGATTGTTGGTGGGGACAGCTTGGATCCCTGGTGCCCCCAGGGTGGGGAGGGGAGTAGAAATTCCCAGGAGGGGGCCCCTTGCACAAGGGGAGATTAGTATGCATCAGGCAAAGCCAAGCTGAACCCCTGGCCCTTTAACAGAGTCTTCCTCAGAGCAGTAGTCTCAGCTATGGGACATTAGGACTTTTATAACCCTGGGAGCAATACCAGTACTTGGCTTTGGCAATCTACTCCTTTGATTTATTTGTGGGTGGAAGAATTTTGGAGGCCAAGAAACCCAGGAAGGCATGGGGCCAGGGCTAACGTGGTGAGATACTGAGAGGCCTAAGGTATCAGAGGATGCTTGTTGGCCCTGCTCTGGGTTACCCTGAGCAGTGGCTGAACCTCAGCTGCCCAATAACATAAGGGTTTTAGAAGTGTGTTTTTGTTTTTCTCATGGAAGCTTTTAAGAGTTCAGTAGGATTTTTCTAAAGAGGGTTAATGAGGACCAGTGTTTAAACCCTACCACCTCGGTCAGCATTCCTAAGACGGAAAGGCCGGCCACTTGCCTGCCTTTTACCTGCTTTTACCTCCAAGGACCCATGCAGATGGGCTTTATGAAAAGGTCGGAACCATGCATCCCCTGACATTGTACCCCAGATCTGCAGGGAGACCCTCCGAATGCGCAGTAGACACATCTTCTCTGCACTTCTGAACCTTGGGTTTGGACTACTGACACCCAGTGGCCCACCTTTCTGGTCAAAGTGGGGAAAGCTGAAGTTCTGGGCATTTAGCAGGTGGTGGGCTAAATGACTTAAGGGGAAAGCCCTGTCTGCAGGGCGTCTTGCAAAAGCCACTTAGGGAGAGTCCTAGCCTGTCATGACCCCAACACCGAGCAGCTGGCTGCTGTCAGTCCAGCTCAGTTGGCTCACCTTTCATCCCACACCCCCGACATCACAACTCAAAGGTGATTCCGATTGATATGATCAGAAGAAAAGGAGATGGGTCTTTAAGATCCTTTTTATCTCTTTGCAGACGTGTTTCTAAGCCAGTTTTGCAGAAAGAGGTGTTTATTTTAGTTTAGTGTTTCTGGAGAGGAGGTGATCTGCTGCAGATAGAAAGGCTGAGAACAGACCTTTGGCATATGGTATCTCATTATAGCCTTTCAGCTTTTTAATTTTAATTTTTTATTAATCTAGAGAGGCATAAAGGAGAAAGAACAGCATGGCTTATACTCTTACTTTTCAGATATTTTTGCTGATAATAAATTTAAAAATACAACATATACCTGCTTAGGAAATTAGACCAGAAAACAATAGGTTGAAAAGTTAAACCTTCCTTCTTCACCTCTTTTTCTAAAGGTACTTCTGGTGGTTGGTTTCTTGTGATTCCTTCAAGAAAAATACATTTTTAAACTCTCATTTGTATATTTTTCTCTGTATGTGTCATCCCTAATTTATGCTGAGATCATACTGCCACATCTTTCTGAACTTTATTTTTTCACTTCATAATATATACTTTGGGGATTTTTCCATGTGGATGTATACAGATCTACTGATTCCTTTTAAACAACTGTGTAGTATTCCGTCAGATATGCACTAAGTGTCTTCTGATGGGGACTTTGGCTGTTTCCAGTTTTTTTCCTTAAATTACTATGTTGCCAGGAACATTCTTCTCTGTTTTGTCACATTTTATAAGTATATTCAGAGATTAAATGCCTGTATGTGCACTTAAATTTCTTATGGAAATGGTCAAATTACCCTCTAATCAGGCTGCTGCTACAAGTGGTGAGTGGCGGGCACATTTGATTACACTCATTTTTGTACTGGGTATCATGATGCCCCTTCATTTTTGTTTCTTTTTTTTTTTTTGCCAAAATGGTGGAAATTCTAGTTCATTGTTCTGTTTTGTTTAATTATTAACACGTTTTAACAGTTTCATATCATTATTGACCATTCTACTTATTTTAAAGTAAAAAGCCTCTTCTCATATTTTCCTCTTTTCTTTAGGTTGTCACTCTGTGTTCTTATTAATTTGATGAAGCATCAGCCCTTTTTTTTAGGATTCAATTTGACATGCAGTGTTTCACTTAAAGCTATTATGTGTGCACGTGGTGAACAATCTGGAACCAGCAGGTGTAAGTTAGACACTGAGGCCGGTTGTGATTGGAGAGCCTCAGAGGTGGTGTTCTGTCCTCACCAGTCAAGTTCTTTGTTTCAAAAGGAAACAGTTTGGTTTCCCGCAAAAATAATGGAAATAAGACTGCTCTGAGGCTGCCCTTTTAAGTTTCCAGTGAGTTGGAGAGAAATGTTTGTAACTAGGGTTTTGAAGAAGAATGGGACTTGGACAGGAAGACAGAGGGAGACACTTCAGTGCAGAGTGGGGGTGTTCTGGCACTGGAGTGGAGTACTAAGTGGGAAGGACTCCCTTCAGTAGATAGAATTTTTAAAAGCCTAAAGGATCTTGCTTCTTTGGGACTGAAGTCCTTCTGAGGGACATTGTTGGGACAGTGTGGCTTGCCAGCTCCTAATGCCGAACGTGCAGAGATTCTGACGCCAGAGCCCATGGCAGGTATGGGATTCACTAGCTAATGGGAGCGTGCTCATTTGTTTTCCTAAGAAGCCATTGTGGACTGTCAAGTAAATGGTGCACATTTGGAAAATGATCTGAATGCACATTTGGGGCCAAACTCTGTTCTGGCTTGATGGGAGCTTTGGAGGTTGCTGGAGGACAGTGGAAAGGACGCCTTTCTTTTCAGGGAAGCAGGATCAGTGGGTCCTTTATAAGCCTGGCCAGCGGGTGCGGTGCCCTTTGAGAGTGGCCTTATGTAAGTCTGCTAGGAATTCAGGACGGCAGCTATTGGTGCAGATCTCTTGTTAATTGACATCTATATAACAGATCCACTATGGTGCTGATGAGCTGTGACCAACGGTAATTAATATTCATTTATAAACTTTTTAACTCCTCTTGTCTAGAAGTTCTAGGAGAAAAGTGCTGTGAAAGCTCTTGGTGTTTTCTTTCCTCCCCCGCCCCCAGCCTTTCACTCTTGTTGTTTGTAGAAACACAGGTGAGCAAAAGGAAGACATGGCGGCTTCTATTAAAGGGTCTGAGGTAGGGGATGAGGTAAAGGCTCATTGGATAAAGGTGCAGCTGGGAGCTGGAGGGCAGATGAGGGTGCCACCTGAAGCCAGTGACCCTTCACAAGAAGCAAACTTGGCTGTTTTGGGGAGTAAGGTTGCCACCTGCCCTATGAAATAGGCATAGTGTGGCCTAAATAGGTTACTGGGAGAGAGAGGAGCATGAGAGAGCAGAAAAGAGGGAGTTTAATAGGAGGAGCAGAGAAAGATGCTTTGGGACAGACAGAGCTCTGTCTGGAGGAGACAAATTGGTGCCTCTGAATTAGGGAATAAGCATGCATGGCCTAGGATGCTGTAAGTATGGGGGCCCTCTGCTTAGGCTGGTCCTCTTTGCTCCCAGCAGGCACTGCGCCCTTTGGCAACCACTCTACAGGAGATTTTGACGATGGGTTTCTGCGCAGAAAACAGCGCCGGAACCGGACAACATTCACCCTTCAGCAGGTAATGAGGATGTTCCCCTTCTGAGAGTTAGCTGCTTCCTGCTTTCAAAACAAAAACAAAAACAAAATCCATCAAAGTTTGAGCTGCTGTTCTTTGTCTTTTAAAATAAGTCCAAGTGATTATGTTAACTGGATCTTTCTGTTTTCTTGAACAACTTATGTGTCAAGGAATCTGTCTGGGGAGAGGGCAGGAGACTTTGATCTTATGATCCCAGAGAGTAAGTGAAGAGGCAGTAATGACTGCTCTCATTTTGCCTAAGGCTGATGGTCTGGGGAACATTTCCACATGAGCAATGCCATTTGAACCTCCAAAATAACCCTCTGAGGGACGCAGGTAGGATGTTCTCATCCCCAGTAGGCAGATGAAAAGATGGGCCTAAGAAGCTGAGGGATTCGTAGAAGGTGTTTTGTTGCCCATAAATGGAAGGGCTACAATTGGAACCCTGATCCTGTGCTCCCTGGACCTGGGCCCCTTCCCTTAGATCCGTTCAACTTCCGGAGCAAACCGGACAGTCAGGAAGGGGACCCAAATACCCCAGGCAGCTTCTGTGGGACGACACAGTGAGGGCCTCTGCAGGTTGTTTCTTTCCTCCTCCACCATATGGTGAATGCTGTGTGGATTGCTCTAATGCATAAGGCTACCTTAGATTTTGATTTCTATGCATATATTTATAGGTAAATACATGGAAATATTTGTACCTCTCTTCTTATTTCTACTTGGGGGAGCACTGAAGTTGTTAGCAAGTCTTAGCTCTCATGCCCTCAGCGGTTGAAATTTTGATTCTGTGGGATCTTTTCGAAGAGCTCTTTTCTCCTCTTTCTTCCCCTATTTGATCTGTGAACCGACTTCCTCACCACTTATAGCGAATCTGAAATATGCCTCTGCTTCCTCTCACCCAGCCACAACCTCTCACCAGTAAATATTTCTTCCTTTTCGCAGCTGGAAGCTCTTGAGGCAGTTTTCGCCCAAACTCACTACCCCGATGTCTTCACCCGAGAAGAGCTGGCCATGAAAATCAACCTCACGGAAGCCCGAGTGCAGGTGAGCCTTCTGTTCAATTATTTAACTCCCTAATATTAAAACTGGCAAACTTTTTTTTTTTTTGACATCATGACTGCAGAGTGCACATTTGGCCAAAGAAAGCAAATGAAGACTATCTGTCATTTTCATGATGCACTTTAATAACATCAACATAATGTGGAATATTAGATTAGGTTGATTAATCGGTCATTCATAATTAACTAGTGATAATGTTCTACACTAATTTGTCCGCGTCTCTAAGGTACTAAATTACATCAATGCATATCCATTTCCTTGCTTTGGAGAAAAAAAAAAAAGAGCTGAGATGCTATTCTCCAAGCAGCTCCGAGCACTCTGGGGTAAGGCCGGTCAATTGCAGAGAACTGTGTTTTCAGATGGGAACAGGGTAGGATCCGCTTTCCAGAAATTGCATCATGTCCAACTTTTCCCCAGCACGCGGACTCTTTTAGCGAAGTGGATCCGAAGAGCATGTGCAATTTAAAAATCTTTAAATGGCAGCAGCAAAGGGCTGCCTCGGAGACGAGCACGGCCTGCGGTGACCGTCTCTAGGCAGGATTTTCTTTTTAGAAGCTACACAGTGGTTATGTTTAAGTGCACAAACCGGCGGAGCCCAGCAGATGTGCCCGAGCGCGGGAGCAGCAGATTCCCAGCACCCCGCTCCCTCTCCGGGAGAGGTATTTTCTGAGCAGAATTATATATTCATTTTATTTATGGGGTTTCCTCCATGCTGTTTCTGGTCTTTTTTATGTAGGGGCTTGGGGTTAAGACTATACAAAGATCTAATTGTAGGAAATATAATAGTTTGCTTTCTGTTCCCCTGGGTCATGTTAGTATCTCTTAAAAACCAATGGCTGAAGAGAGATAATGGAATTCTGAGCAGTAAATTGGGGGTTGTAAACAAATTATTTCCCCTATAATCAGATTATGTGATCCTGATTATTAAATCTGAACATGAATCATTGGTCATATGTGGGCAAATTAAACTGATTATTATTTGGAAATGAAAATCTCCTTTGGCCAGGATGCCGTCTCTCCTTTCTTTTTTTAATGCCAGCTTGCCAATAGCTGCCTAAAGACTGAATTGCAAATTGAGATAAATGACACAATTATTGAGCATTCAGAAGTGGAAGATCATAACTTCTCCCTGAAAGGTGCAAGGGTGAGATAGGGGTGGTGACAATTAAAGCTGGGAATTGTTGTTGTGGCTGTTGTTGGGTATTATGCAAACAGACAATGGCTGTGAAGCGTTTGTTTAGTGAGCCTCCGTGTGGGGACATGGGCTTTGGTGGCGGGAAGGGAGCTGTGTTTACATTTACACTGCTTGCTCATTCAAATATGATTAATGTTCTATAAAGCAGGGTCTTAATCGAAGCTGATGTTGTCAAACAATAACTAAATAGGGAAATAAACGACTCCATCATGCTCTTTCCTCAGAAGCAGGCGAACTGTCAGTGCAAAGTCATTAAAATATGATAATGAAAAATAGCTCAATTAAATGTTGTTATAGCTGTGACCTTCATTCAATTAAGACGCAAGAAAGTGTCTGCATTTTGCTTTGCATTTAACTGCCCTAAATTTAGAATAGAGATAAAATCATTATTCAATGGTTGCTGATATGTGCAATTAAAAGCCAACTAGATTAAAAAAGAGAGAAAGAAACCCAGATACAGGAGAATGAAAATTCTGAAGAGGTGGGGTGGGCTGGCAGCACGCTCAGCCCCCGGACTCAGGCGCTCTCCTGGGCCAGTCTGCTGGCAGGAGGAGGAGAGGATGCCCTGGGAATAGGAGGGAGGTCTAGCCAAGCATTGCTTTTTGAGCCAGAAATTATCTCCTTGGATGGGGGCAGGGGGAGAGGTTTTGCTGGATGGAGTAAAGAGCAGCAGGATTTCACTGACCTCTGGGAACACCTTGGGCCTGGCTGGGCTGCCTGGCTGCTCTGAGGCTGTCTTTCTGCAAATGCAGTCTTGGTTTCCAAGGCCTAAAGACTTTTCCATCAGCTTCTACGAAGGCTCTCAGTGCAGGTGAATCGTAAGTGGCCTCCTAACCTGAGGATGGCAGAGATGATAACACTAGCTAATGTTTACCAAGTGATGGATTGCTGTTTGCCGGGCCCCATGCTCAGTGTTTTTCATGCATCTCTGTGTTAGCCTCCCTAACAATGCTGGGGTGGCCATTATTATTACCCTCAAACAGTTTGGATCATGGCCCCAGCCAAGTCACTGGGTTTTAAATTGTGGATCTGCCACTTACCACCCAAATGACCTTGGGCACGTTCATTAACCTCTCTGTGCTTAGTTTTCTCATCTGTAAAGTGGAGATAGTGGGACTGCCTACCTTTTAGGGTTGCAGTGGGCTCTAAACCAGGTCCACCATGGTTCAGATTTCTAAACCAGGACTGAGTCCAGAGTCAGTGTTTCTAGTGGGTATACTGGGCTCTTGGTCATGAACTTGTCATGATGTGTAAGAGATGATTTCAAGGTTAAATCACAGGTTTGAGGCCAGACACACTCAGGTACTCAGGCCAAGCCTGCTGGAAGAGTGAATGAGTATTTTTGATGAGGAAACCCCAGGCAGTGTTTTATAAATTGCTTGATGATAAAATCTCACCCCCCCCACCCTTAGGAAATACATTTCACATGAAATAAATGTACTCGCATACACAGAATTTCCACAAAACACTTTTACCTTTACTATGCATTTGGATACTTTCTATGATTTAACATTCATTAAAAAAAATGCCTGTCATGCACTGTGCATGGATCTTCTGACCTGTCTGAGGGTCTGCAGGTATAGGTGAGAGAGCATTGCTTTGTCTGAACTTTTGGCGAGGTCGGGCTGTGCCTCTGCAGCCTGCTGAAAGCGAGGCGAGCCGTGAGTGCTGGGCGCGGGGTCCAGGAATTTGGGCTTGGGTTCTGGTTCCCTCCTTGTGTCTGATTTTCTGCCTCCATTGAGTGTGTTTTTCCATCGGGGATCCAGGTTTGGTTCCAGAACCGAAGGGCCAAATGGAGGAAAACAGAGAGAGGGGCCTCTGACCAGGAGCCAGGAGCCAAGGAGCCCATGGCAGAGGTGACGCCACCACCTGTGAGGAACGTCAATTCCCCATCCCCTGGAGACCAGGCCCGGAGCAAGAAGGAGACCCTGGAGGCCCAGCAGAGGTGAGGCTGGCTGGACCCCTGGGCCTGAAGGGCTGGTGGGCCACAGCGTTGGGAACTCATGTGATTTTCTTTCTCTGCCAGCCTGGGGCGCACTGTGGCTCCCACAGGACCTTTCTTTCCCTCCTGCTTGCCGGGGACCCTTCTGAATACGGCCACATACGCCCAGGCCCTGTCACATGTTGCTTCCCTGAAAGGTGAGTTGGGCTCTACTGGCTGGGGCGTTGCTGGCTGAGCACTGTCTCCAAGGGGATCCTGGAGATTGACTGTCCTGCTTTCTCAGTTGGGCCCATCCTTGCACCTTGGGCTGGGGTCACTCCTTTTTGCCTTCTGTCAGTGACAGCCAGGATCATGAACAGCATCTGTTTCTGCACATGTCATCTTTGATTTCTACATGTCCTGAGAACTTAGGTGAATGTCATAAGCATCACTGCACCTGACAGGGGCTTGTTGTAGAGGTGATTGTTTCGAAAGTGACTACCCTGTATTCATACAATAGATTGCTCCCTGCCATAGGTAACAGTTTTAGGAGCTAATGTGCAACTCATGGGTGAGGCCCTGTGAGGGGCAGTAGTCCCTCCTTATGAGGCTTATGAGGCCCCTCTCCATATGTGCTGCTTGCCCACCTGCCTACCCCAGCAGATCCTGATGTAAGAGGTCGGAACTGTTAGGATTTGTGGTTTTCCAATATTTGCTCTCTTCTCAGTGGCTGTTGTTGTTTGAAGGATAGAACCTAGTAGGGACGTTTTGTCAGGCTCAGAGGGAGGAACTCTTGTGGGCTGTCCATTGGGCATTTCTGGGCCCATCCAGTGTCCCTCAATTTGTGGCCCCAAACCTACTCCTCCTGTGATGGGTCAGGCCGTTGTGCTCCTCAGGAGCAGGGCTGGGCCTCAGAGAGGGCCTGGGGGAGCCAGTGCGAGTATTCCCCTGGGGCCTCACCTGTCACAGGTGGGGTTGCAGGTGCAGCTGTAGGCTTTTTCCTGATAATAAATTGTGGGAAAGCCCCCCCCCCCAGGTGTTTCCTACTTGTTCTGTGTTAGTCTGCGGGGGATGAAGGAGGGCATGATAAGGCCTCTCTGGTGAGTCTCCTGAAGGGAGAGAAAGACATTCCAGGCATAAGGAATAGCACATGCAAAGAGTGCTGGGAGCGGGGAGTAGAACCAGGCTTGTCTGGAGAATGTCTGGGGTGTTGGGTGCTCATGGTGGAATGTCCAGAGATAGATGGAGGTGCCTGGCAGGAGCCAGAGTTTGAAGGCCCCCCGGTGATGTGCTCCTGGATTTGGACTTTCCACTCTAGGAGGTGGCTCCCCAAAGCCCAGAGCCACTTCTGGGTGGTCCAGCTAGCTGGGTACATCCCTGTGCTTAGATGACTGGCACAGGTGGATGAGGCTTAGTGCTCTCCACACCCTCCTAGTGCGTTCTCCAGCTGCAGGGCCCGGGTGCTCAGGCGGCCACATAGAACCCTCCACAGAGCAGTCTTGGACCATATTCACAAGACACAATAGGCTGATAGTGCTACAGAGGTGAGGTCAGCCAACTGGAAGGGGCTTCTGGAAGACTACCAGTGGGACTCGGTTATCAGCCAAGGAGCTGGTCTGGACGGAGGAGCAGTCCTGTGCCCGTCTGCCGAATCCGCTCTGCTTTGGTGGGGACCAGCTCAGAGCCTGAGAGGAGCCATAACTTCTATCAGGGTCCTTTGTTTGCCACACTGCAGCCTTATGAATTAGAGGCGACTCCTACGTCTCTTTGCTATGGTGGCCTGTGTGTGTGGGTATCTGGCTAGCTAAGCCAGATGAGCTCTTACATTTCCTGAAACATGCGGCCCTCTTGGTCTGTATGAAGCCCTCTTGGTCTATTTGTCATTTTCCCACTTTCGAGGGAGGCACAGGGGAAAGGCACACTGCTGTGCTGTCAGGAACAGTTGTGTGAGGACATGCTAAAGGGTACCTTCAGATCCTGGTTGGGCAGAGGTGGGATGGGTTGCACTGGGACAGGGCGTTTACCACTCAAGGGTCAACTGTTGCTCAAGCCAGCTGACTGTGGCCAAGTGGGAATGTGTACACACCGCTGCCAGAACTATTGAATTTTCATGAAGCACTGGAAATCTGGCCTTTTATTAGAAATAGTCCCATCTTTTAAATGTTGCCTCCAAGTCTTTGGGGCCAAGCTGGCACATCCTTGGTCAGACCAGCCCGCCATTTTATGGGGGGACTTTCCTTCTGCCCACTCCCATGTCTGCCTTTTGTGTTCTCCCTTCATTCTCCTCCTCGGGCCTTTGCCCCAGCCCTCCTGTCATCATCCTGACCCCTTAGCACCATGGCCCATTCCCGGTGGCCCCTCTGAGCAGATGGCTTTTTAGTCTCTGGTAAGGTAAGTCACGTTGGAAAAGGAGAGGAAATGAGGAATTGTTGACAACTTCTTCCGTTCTCTGCCCGTTGGCCTATTTTCTTCTGTTGGAGTCCCATTTTCTTCTCACAGCACTGGAAGGATTATGCAGGAAGGGCTCCATAGTGCCACAGACAGGAAGTGGAGCTGGGTTCGCTCTGAGATAATGGCTGGCATTGGTTGGGGTATCTGTGCATTCTAAAAGCTCCTGAGCCCTGTGGTGGCACTTCTGGAAGGGAGGTACTCTGAGCTGGAAGTCTCTGGGGCTGCCCCTGAGCTCACTGGTCAGCAGGGTCCTGCTTCAGTTCAGGTGAGCCTGGCAGTCCCTGGAGATGTGCTTGGGAACCTGGCCTCTGCCTCGGACCTGGAGTGAGAAGCGTGTACCTGCAAGTCAGGTTCTGAACACCCCTGGGTCTGATGCTTGGTGGTTTTGTGGAACATTGTTAGGTGGTTTGGGGCCAGGATGGCTTTCTGACTTTTGCAGCCCACATCTTCTTACTCTCCCAGGCCTCTCCAAGCTACAGAAATCAAGTACATAGCTCAATTTGGGCCCAAGAGAGAAACAACCCCAATTTTCCAGGATCTGTCTCGGTGCCAAGGACCTCTGGGCTGTAACCAGCCTCCCTCACATTAACTGCACCTTCGGAGGTGGCTGGGCAGCCAGATGCTGGCAGAGCTGGTGATGGAACCAAGCTTTCCCTCTCTCGGGTCTCAGATCTGCTTCCCAGGGTCCGCTGGCCACCTAGTGGACTGCCTCAGCTAGCTGGGAGCGGCTCATTCCGATGGTGATAGCAGGCACCCTTCTGGTCTTCTAAGCCCATCCTTCATTTTAAAAATGAGAAGCTGAAGCTCAGAGAGGGGAAGTCACTTGCTCACACATCGCTTATTCAGCTAGGTCTCCCTTTTGTGGTCTAGCCTGCTCTCCACAGGATCCTAATGTGCGCTTTCCTCTCAACATCATTTATTCATTCATTCCTCTGGATGAGCACTGCTGGTAGGGGTGGGGGTTCCCTGCTTCTCCCCAGCAAGCGAGGATAGCTGTGAGTCCACAGCTATGAGGCTCACCCAGGACTACAGGAGACCAAGACCAGTGTGAGCTGAATGCTATAGCCCCTTCCAGGTCGGAGATCCCAATTCACTCCTCCAGGCCTGCAGCAACTTGCAGGTGACCCCGAAGAAATAAATCAAAGTGATTTTCAGCTCCCAGAACCAAACCAGTGCTTGTGTCGCCTTGCTTAGGCTTTGTGGTCCTAGCAGGACCACATGGCCCTGGACGGAAGACAGCAAGTGTCCTGGGTAGGCTACCAAGGTTCTGGCCTCGCCTTAGACCTCATTCCAGGTGTTGCTTCCCCGAGGCTGCAAACCTGAACCTGCAGCCCAGGGCCTGAGGGCCCACGCCAGGGCTGCTGTGCTGCCCAGCACCTGGAGAGTATGAGGACAATGCAGGGTTCCCAATCCCAGGGCAGGATCAATTTTCCCAGGGTGTATATGGGGCACCCCAACTAATGGTCCCAGAACTCAATGCCTGGGGAACATTATGTATAGTTACAAATCGAAAGACTCCAAGTTGGGGTTCTGGTTTTTTGTTTCTAGGTATTGTTATGACAGATGTGGAGCCTTTGCCTGGGAAATACTGAGAGAGCCTCTAGGAGTGTTTGTGGGTAGCTTGGGGGTCCTGAGGTCCAGTTTGCTGAGTAAATTCCTTTAAGTAGTGACCCTTGAAGGCCTTAGATCCTTTAACATAGTTTTATGAATATTCACTTGTTTGGAAATTCTTTGGCTTTGAATGTGCTCTGACAATAGGAGTGCTTTTATAATACTGGCTATCAGCTCCTGAGCAGGTGGCACTGGGAGCAGCAAAAGGGCAAGCAGGATGGATCATGGGCACTGATGCCAGCTCTGGGGGCCCCATACCACTGGCCTCCAGAGCACAGAGCTGCTTGCGTGGAGATGCCAAGCCCTGCCTCCCACGAGAGTGGGGTAGACAGGCTGGGCCCTGGCAGCTCCATGACTACAGCCCAGAACATGACAGTGGGTCTAGACTCTGCTTTTCAATCTTCGGATCATGGGGGCAAGTGGCCCAGACAATGTGAAGTGGGGCAGGCCGCTTTGCTGAGCTTTGGCACACAGACTGAGAAGTTAGCAGCAAGAAACTCTAGATTATGGTTTTCTTAGGAAATTAGAAAGACTAATTTTGATTTCTTGAAGATACCTATTGTGAACAGGGGATTAGGGTTTGAAAGCATTGGGGGAGCTGGAGAAACCGAAATCAGGCTGGAATACTCTGTAGTTGGACAATCTGCCCAGCTTAAAGCCGCCATAGCACATGCCACAGCTCAACTTGGCGGCTCTGCCTCAAGCTGGGGGTGGGGGCCAGGGCAAAACCTTCAGCCACAACACTGTCATCCTGTGCTGGGGGTTGTGCTCTGCTGCCAGGTCCCCCGGCTTGACCAGGAGTCTGAGATGCAGCCCGGAGGCTGCTCACTCAGCAGTCTCTGTTGGGGCATGTGGGGTGGCATGTGCCTGGAGGGAAGTGTCTAGAAAGGTCAGCAGGGCTGCTCAGGCAACAGCGCTGGGTAGGAGTTGGGGGTGAAACCCTTGATGGGCAGGAAATCATGGCCAGGGTTCCTGGTCAAGTAGAGCGTCCTCACTTGGAGGTGTGGCAGACTAAACTTCCGGGCTCTGCCGGGCAGGTCCTCAGATGGACATCAGGCTGTCCCTATCAGGAAGTGGGGCAGCTGGCTACCTCAGGCCAGGAATCTGCCCACTGGGGACAGAGCCAGGTAATTGAAAAGCAAGTACTTGTGGGTGT